TGATTCTTAAATCATCCTTACTCATAAAGCTATTGAAAATATCATTATTTGGATCAGGTGCACCTTAGCTCTTAAACTGATACCCTACTCTTTAGCACTTTGGATAGATCCTTGACAGCAGATTTTCCCAATGTGATGTGTCTTTTGATTTCTTGGTTACTGCTGTCATGGGTGTTGACTGTGGATCCAAGTAAAAGGAAATTGTTGACATCTTCAATCTTTTCTCCATCTCTCATTATGTTGCCTACTGACTGGTTCAGTGATAAAAAATTTTCTTTTATTGATGTTGAGATGTATCTATATTGCAGACTTAGTCTTTGATCTTCAGTAAATGCTTCAAATCTTCACTCTCTGTGAGACTGTGTCAGCCATATAATGCAGGTTATTGATGAGTCTTCTTCTGATCCTGATGTCAATTTCTTCATGTAGTCCAAGTTATAGAGCGCTTTGCTGAGCATGCAGATTTTGAATGGATATGGAAAAATTATTCCATCCTGACACACACTTTTCCTGATTTTAACCTGATTTTTCCCTTGTTCTATTTGGTCAATGGCTTCTTGATCTATGTGTAAGTTTCATATGAGTACAATTAAGTGTCCTGGGATTTCCCTTCTTCTCAATGTTAGTCATAATTTGCTATGATCTACACTCAGTCAGACACAAGTAAACATCTCTCTGATATTCTCTACTTTTAGCCAACATCCATCTGACCTCTCCAATGATATCCTCATGCCATGGTCTTTTTCTGAATCTGGCTTTAATTTCTGACAGTTCATACTGTTCTAGCCATTTTTAAATAATCTTCAGTATAACTCTACTTGCATAGATATTCACAATAGTATTAAATATTTTCCATTGGATCCCCTTTTTGAGGAATGGGAACAAATATTGATCTTTTCTAGTCAGTTGGTCAGGTAGCTGTCATCCAAATCTCTTGGCATAGACTAGTGAGCACGTCCCTGGCTGTATCTGTTTGTTGAAAGACAGTAATTAGAATTTCATCAACTCAACTCCTAGGACTTTTTTCTTTACCATGTCTTTAGTGTCGTTGGAATTTCTTCCTTCAGTATCATTGGTTCTTGATCATATACTAAATCCTGAAATGGTTCAACATAGACTATGAGTATTCTCTCTATCTTCCTTTAAATCTTTCTGAATCATTCAAGATTTTGCCTGTAGAATTCTTCCATATTGCCACTGGAAGCAAGCTGCCCTTTGAAATGTTCTGTTCAGCTTTATTACTTTAGCATTTCTTCCCTTTGTTTTTACTTCTTTACACTTTAATGTAAGTTTCAGATTATATTCTGACATCCATTTTTGTTTTTTCTTTCTCTCCTGTCTTTGCAATGACTTTTTGCTTTCTTTATGGATAATTTCTTTGCTATCAACCCATAACTTATTGGGTTTTGGTCATTAATGTTCAACACACACAGCTTTTAAATTCAACTGGAGTAGACTCAAGGTATTTTGGTTCTCATGGACTTGTTTTAATTTTCTTCAGCTTCAATTTGAACTTGCACATGAGTAATTGATGGTCTGTTCCACAGTCAGTCTCTGACCATATTTTTGCTACATACATAGATTTAGAAATCAATGCATGCATGCATTTGTACATGTCCTAACTTGACCCACTGAAAAGGAATAAGATTGATTGACTTTAGGACTGGGCAGGTATAGAACAAGAAAAGCCTGGAATATCATACCATATCAGAAAATTGTCAATGAATGATGTGAAGACTTTAAAAGGAAACAGAAATAATTCTATAGGACTTCCACATGGCAATATTGGGTTAATTTAAGCAACAATATAAATTATGATGAGTAAGTAATGATATGATATCAATTCCTTCAGTACAACTTGTACTTTTTCCTTCAGGACAATCAGTTTGGTACAATGACTATGTATTTGTACCATCTTCCTTTTAAAAAAAAGTTTTATTGTAATTTGAAAGTTTACAAAATCTATTCATTTTCCATTCAACTATTTGTACTAATTTTATTTTATGATAAAAATTGCATTACATATAATGTAACCATCACTTCCTACTTCTTCCTTAAGATTCTCATTTCCACTAATCCTTCAATCTTCTGCAATCCTTTTGGTTTCATGTGCTTAGTTATACTTAGGCGTGAGTTTGTCTCCCTAGTGTAATTCTACAGCCCTGTCTGTTGTTTGGTTTCAAGTTTGAGCCATGAGGGTGAGATTTTTTCCCAGGTTAGAAGGGTGATTAAGGGCTAAGGTCTCCAGTTCATCCATATTCTTTGTATGCTTCCTTCATATTTACTCTTCCCCCTATAAAATCCTTTAATATTCTGACTTGAGGCATGATGTTTTCTTTCTACTATTTTAGCTTGTGAACTATCAATTGTGCTTTTCCCTTGTGGTTTTCTAACTTTAGATCGTTGCAGATTTCATTATAGTACTTAAACTTTGTCCTCTTGACTTTGTCTTTGAAATCTTCTGTTCAACTCAATTACTTCATCACATCTTCATGTGTTTCAGCTACTCTATCTTCAAAACAAATATCCGTCTCTTCAGACATTCTTTTTTTTTTTTTTTGCCTTTCCCTTCCTTTTCTTTGGTTTTCATGACTTTCTGGTTATCTCATGTATGCTGCCCTTGATGTCATCCCACAAAGCTATTCTGAGGTGATGGGTAAATTCAGATGGGATGTGGAAAAGACTTTCCTTTGGTTCTCAGGTACTTTTTTCGTACATGAGCGATTGAAAGTCTGTCCCACAATCATTCTCTATATTTGTCTAAACAATGATATTACACTTCTCCATTAACTCTACTCACTTGTATTGTTAATTTGATTCCTGGGTATTCCATCTGACAAGATCCATGCCTATGGTTGCCACTATTATTGCTGCTGTTGCTAGGTGCTGTCGAGTTGAGTATGACTTATAGTGTGACCCTATGACAAAAAATCTGATCCCTGTCCTATCCTGTGCCATCCTCACCATCTCTCATACACTTGAGTGCATTGCTGCTTTCATTGTGCCAATCCATCTCCTTGCGGGGTTTCTTCTCTTTCACTGACCTCCATTTGTGTTGTTGGAAAAATGTATTTCCAATTAATAAGTTACTGGTTATAAAAAATTCTATTATTCAATCACCAGTACTATTTCTATTGAGGATTCTTTCCAACCATTGCATTCCAATCACTAGTATTAATTAATGCATCTTGAATATGTATTTTATTAGTTTCAGACAGATAAATGGATAGAATTTCAAATTCTTCCGCTTTGACTTTATTAGTTGTGGCATAAATTTGAATAATAGTCCTATTAACAGGTTTTCCTTGTATTCCAAAGGGTGTTATATTAATACTGACAGCTTTGTACTTCAGGACAGATCTTGTAGTGGTCTTTTTGTAATAAATATGACATTAAACACAAAACCTGCAATTAATTATGGAGACACTTTGTACAAGCCCAGATAAACTGAGACATTTCTCAACCAATGATGTGTAATTTTGAAAGGTCCCAATGTTTTTTAAAAGTCAAAGAAAGACTGAGGAAAAACTCTTATGTTAAAGGAGACTAGATTAATAGGTCAACCAGGCTCCATATGTAATTCTGGATTGGCTGCCTTGACTCTAAAGTACATTAAGGTATGACAGTTAGATGGGGATAGATAGAGAAACAATGTTCTCAGCACTGTTGAGTTGGGACAAACTCATAGCTAACTCTCCATGGGCTTTTTCGAGGCTGTAAGTCACATGGAAGGAGAGTGCTCATCTTTCTTCTATGGAGCCACTGGTGCATTTGAACTGCCA